ACTCCAGTCGCGTGCTTTTGGTACCTGTATCCAGGCCACTGATGTCAGGGCTGTTCTGAAAGGACTCCCCATCTCCCCCAAGTTTATTGCCTTCGTGCGTAACTCTGCGTTGTTATTTTTCTTTTTCGCGGTCCGTTCGATATGTGATTGACCCTCATGACGGCGATGCGCTGAGCGCGCTCACTTCACTATACTCGCTTTATCTCTCTCTCTCTCCCACTCACGCGCCGGACACTCGCTCGCTCTCTCCCTCTCTCTCTCGCACTCGCAGCAGGGTCGCGTCGTGCGCCGCTCGTCCTTGAACCGCGGTGGAGGGCGGCCAGAGCAAAACCCATCGCCAAGATGAGGAGGTGATTGTGGCGACCGCCGCCGTCCCCGTGATGGGGCTCGACCCGCTATAGGTGCTGCGGTTCAGAATAGTCACGTCATGTCACACACAGTAAAGCGGAGTGTGTGACAACAAGGTAAATGTAAAAGACGTATCTATGGACAGTTGCAATGGTCACAGAATTTTATACGCGTGGCAGAATTGTGACACCCTTGTCTATGCGTAGCATAATGGTCACACACTACACACTTTTCTATGGGTGACAATGTTTTTGTCTCGCACTCTCTGCTAATCTTAGTGTGTGGTAGTTTGCCAGTTCAAACTGCAGAACTAAAGAGTTATGTAGTTAACAGGCGAACTAAAGAGTTCTGCAGTTACAACTGGCAAACCACTACAACTAAGATTAACAGAGCTTTGTAATTATATCTTTTTTGGCAGTGCGGGCGTGACGACTGAGGTCATCGCACACAGCTGCGGCAGCTGCGTGTGGGAATAAATTATGTTAATCCGATGTAGCGCGTCACGCAGCTAGTTAGTAGAGCGGCGCGGCGACACCAGCAGGTCGCTGGGCACATCCGCGGGTGATTGTGCGAATGCCCACTGGAGAATTTCTATTACTCGAAATTTGTGGCCCAGGGATCTATTTCCCCTCGAAGCAGTCGGCACCTTCTCTCGCGCCCGGTATAATGTGTGCACACATTTCCATGGTTTCCGTGAAATCTGTCTCTTACATAGGGTTTACATGGCTCTGATTAAGGAAGTGCCATCTGACTATTTTTTTCAGGGTGCGCAGGCCATCATATCACCAATGTCCTTGTACCTTTACAATTTCCTATCTTTCTGCTGTAGCAAAAATGGAAACTTTCACAATTGGGTAGAGAGCCACTGGAGACTGTCTAAAATTGAAATTGAAAATAAAATAATAACGAAAAAAATCAATGCCAGTCTTGTGGCTTACGCTCTCTCCTAGACCACGGCCACGTTCTCATAGAAGGAGTGAGAGAGAGAGACAGAGAATCCACCTGATGGGGCATGGCCGATGCGTCTTGCGTCGCGACGCGTGACGTGACGTGGCGGGGCGTCGCGCGGGGCGTCGCACCGGCCTTGCACCGCAACACTTTCGCCGTCCTCGCCTCGTCACGTGTCATCCTCTTCCTGGCCGTCCGCCGCAGCGAATTTCGAAAGGTTGATGATTGCAGAGATGGGTAAAATAATAGAATTATTTTTTGTTCTTTGCAAAAATTAAACGTGCAAAATTGTTGTGATAAAGGTTGCACGGAAATCGCAAATGGCGTGCTTTTTTTCGTACAGCCTAGCATTACCCTTTTTCATCTGGCATGTACCTTAATAAAGAATGTTTGTGGCAAGTCGTTGTCACATTATACTTTCAAGTGATGGAATGCCACACTTTTATACAGAGTTGTCATGCACACCCTGTGCCACCCTGGCCCGGCAGGCGTTGCGGTTGTCAATGCACGCATACTTGCGGAGACGGTTGCCGCGGCGCGCCTCTGCATCAATTCAAACGAGTATCGATTAACTGTCGCTCATGTCTTGCGGCCTCACATCGCGGGGGCTTTTGCCGTTATATGCAAAAAAAACAAAACAAAAAAAAAAAAAAACGGTGAAGGCGGGGAAACCAAACACACAGACGGTGGAATTTAATCACGATAATCGGTCGCGCGCTAATAATGTTTGTTTGATACTTAATTATTGGAAAGGTCACTCACCTTTCTCTTTCTACGAGAGGCCAGCAAGGTATTTGTCTTGTAAATTCGACAATATTGATAGCAATCTGTATCGCTTGTTTCCGTTAATAGTTTGGAATTAAGTTCAGGAGCCGCGGCTTGTTTGAGTTGAGGAGACCTGCATAACCATACAATCAAACCCGCTCTACAGTAGATAATTTTTTATGAAAATGAAGAATAACTGATTTATTTGTCATTTTTGTTGCTGTTCGTCCTGACGGCCTTTTGAAGCGAACGGCCTCGACGCAAGTAGATGTACGCGGAAGTCTTGTTTCTGCTGCGCTCTTGCCGCTCGCGATGCAGAGTCCACTTCTCTGGCCTTTCCTCTTCTTTCTTCGGCGATGATCAAGTCGTTAGGACAACAAAACCGCACGCGGGCCAAGGCTGCGACAAGGGCAGCGGCGCGCACCTCGGCTTCGCCCGCCCGGCGCCCATAAGCCCCGGCCGCCTCGAGAAAACCATACTGTAACTTAGTATTGAATGCAATTGCAATTGCGCTTATTTTACTACATAAATGTGACGAAATTATTTTGCTGAATACCTATGAAGGTGTTCAGTGTATGAACACCGAATACTTGAGCACACTGCCATTTGTTTTTCTCGAGATCAGCCATAATTGTTACTGGCACGGTGTTAGGATTAAAAGACCCTTTCGCTCTTTTTTGTCCTTGATAAAATTACGAAAACCTTAGGTGAATGAATTTCACTCAAATCCCCCTCTACCTCTCCTCCCTCCACTACCGCACCTGTAAGTGCTGCTCGTCAGAGATGCTGATGCTGCCGCTCCTCTGCGCTCCGCACCGGGTAGTGACGCCTCAATAACTCGCCGCACACTCATCATTTTGCGAACTGCCGCCAATGGCCGAACGACCGAGCTAAAGTGAAAGGGCTTTCTTCAGATGACCGCAAGCCCAAAATAGGAGTAAGAAGAGGGCACCGTAAAAAAAAAAAGTGCGCGGACGATCTGCTGTCTGTCCCGCTGCTTGCAGTGCCGCGGGCTACGCGTCCTCGTTGGGCGAGGTGGACGGTGCGCTCGACCAGCCGCGACCAGCCGCGACCAGCCACGACCAGCCGGAGAAGGAAGATTCGGCGGTAAATTGAAAGCCGCCCGCTATGGATAGCGTGCAGCGATACTCGATGTCGCGGTCCTCTGCCGCTGCTGGCTCATCTCGCATCCGACAGATCGTCGCCGGGAGATGACTCGGCGCCGCGCGGGTCAAACAGACGCGCACCGGTGGATGCGCGCCGAGCGGCGGGGGCAGATCCGGGCCAGCGATCATCGTCTCGGTCGTCCGAGCGCGCGATGTCAAATAGTCATTCTGGGAAGTGCATCTGCGCGACTCACCCGATGAAATGGTCTCTCTCTCTCTCTCTCTCTCTCTCTCTCTCTCTCTCTCTCTCTCTCTCTCTTCCTCTCCACACTCCTCGCGCGACGCACGACGACCGGATCCTTCTCTGTGGGAGTGCGTTATCATGACCCGGGTCATGACCCTGAGTCTGCCCAAAATAGGCATTCCGTCCTGTGGTCTCGAAACACTCCTACGCGCGCTATATATCAGGGTGGAAGTCGAGGACCTCCACCTTCCGCCCTCCACCTCCGTGGCGACTATGGGGGACCATCCAGAAAGTACGAAAGTATGTTTCACTAATATTAATTCGGCAAAATTACGGGAGCTCGGCGCCTGTGAGACCCAGGGTAGGCCACCCCGCGGCTCACGCATGCGCTGCAGGCGAGATGCTGCCTACCTACCAGGCGCTTCGTAAGCTCGCACAGGCTGAACGAATGGCAGTTGTTGTGCGACGGAAGTACTTTCTTGATGATCCCCAAAGGCCGGCCGCAGATGCCCTCTTCTCAGCCTACGTTATCTTTTTTACTGGTGCCTTTTTGCCGCGGCGACAGGAGCTACGTCGTCTCGGCTGTCGCACACACTATCGCCATTCACGCCGCGCTCCCTTCCGCTCCGCCCACGGGAGGCTAACGCGGGCCAAACCCAGCCCTTGAGTCCCTTATCTCGGTAAAAACTATGTCACATTTTTTTTTTGAGGAACATAGGTAAACTTTGAGGAACTCTCATATGTTTGAGGAAGAGTCCTCTATCTCGCCTCAGATTTTGAGGAATCTCCTTAAAACATGAGGAAAAATCCCACGTTTGTTTACGAAACTTCCTCGAAAATCTGAGGAGTTTCCGTCAAACCAGGGGAGTTCCTCAAAGTTTTCCATATTCCCTCAAAAAATGAGACACTGTTTTTACCGTGTATTGGCGAGTAGGCAGGCATATAACGCTCGCGAGTGAACCGGGGTGGCATGGCCTACCTACGAGGCGCTCTGTGCCTCAATAAGCAGCTTCAGTCAGTAAGTTTAAGTTAAACAGATAAAACGTGACGTGCTGAAAGTACAAGTGGCCTGTGGGTAATAGGCCATAGCCGGCGAAAACGTAAACCCCGCGACTTGAGTTAAGCATACGAGTTCCACACCGACCGACCGCTCGCTGAGCTTTATGGGCTAGTTTCCGTAGTTTTGCGAGTCTCATATGTTGAGTAGGCTTAATAATCTATCAGCGCTGATCCCCCGACCGCCACCTCTAAGTGCGGCTCTTGCCAAGTTAATGCGGTAATGGCGAACGCACGGGTCCCAGTGCGGGGGACTCACCGGGGGCCCACGGGGGCAGTGGGGGCCCGGCCCGCTGAGCCTCTGGGGGGCCCCTCGGTTGGCCCCCGCCCGGGGAAATAGTTTCTGCTTCATTTCCTGCAAAGGCGGTGTGGGAATCGCCCTCTGCCTCCCTGTGAATCCGTGCACCTTAGCGATGTGTCTGAGAGAGAGAGAGAGAGAGAGAGAGAGAGAGAGAGAGAGAGAGAGAGAGAGAGAGAGAGAGAGCGAGCGAGCTTGACTTGGCGCTTCCCTTGCGGCCTGCACTTAGCCGCCTCACCGGAACACTAATTAAAGTCAGCAGTAGAAGCAGCAGCCGTGGTGGGGTCCTCCTCCTTCTCCTCACCCCTTCCACTGTGCAAAGTAATTAACTATATCGCAATAAATTATTAATGTTTTTTTTTTCCCGCCGCGCCCGCTCAGGTGTAACACTGTGTTCTCGTTACTGGCGCCGCCTCCCGCATTCCGCGTCTAGAACTAACAAAGTGAATCGTTTGTGTGTTTCAGGTGAGATTCATGGGCCGCCCGTCCCTCGCACCGCACCACCGCTCACCGCGAGTGTTCGTAAGTACGATGGTTTTCAAACGGGGAATATGGCGAGTTCATTCTTGGTTCCCAATGTTTAAGATTCATCTACGTTGACAGCTCGGTCCTCTTATTCTTTTAATTGACGCAACTGCCAAATATTTATCTTTCAAATCAGCTGAATTTTATTTCGATAAACGAGCTGCGATAGGGAGCGAGCGAATGATTCCGCCTTACCTTACTTAACCAAAGCAATCACCTCAAATATATCGTACCAACCCGACTGTAAATGAGAAAATGGGTTTATGAATATTGCTTATCCAGTCGAGTATATGGTGTATGATCTGGGTCACGTGATTGGTATAGGTAAACCCCCTTGAGAGTAATTACCTCCTGATAGAGCCTTGCCAAAGCGGCGTCAGATAAGGAAGCAGTGTCGTGATGGGGACCGGCTCGGCCGGGTAGTATAGTTCACTCTTCACCGAAATGTGAACAGTTTCTCGTGATTTTATTTTTCCGGTTCGTACTTCCAGTGAGTGGCGCAATGATCGTGATCGAAAAGGGGGCCGCCCTACAGCGCACTGGACTGGCCAGTCGCCAGGTGATATTGGACTCGTTTTCATCAAGTAGTCACCATCGATACCTGGAGCTGGCTGGTGGCTGTGCGCTTGTGCGTGTAATGGATCAATTATAGTTTCACCCATAATGTTCAGCACAAAAAAAAGACAGTTTAAATAAGCAGACCATTAACGAATGTGATGCAGTTATTTTATTTCTTGTTATATGACAGTGGTCATCATTATTGTTTAAATATGTGCCACTTCTCACGTCATGCAAAAACGCAAAAACGCACGTCATTTCCGAACACTCACATAATTGGATTATAACCACGTTTTACTCCTCTTCAAATGACATTTTGTGCCGCGGAGGCGGAGGACAGGTCGGCTATCTCTGTTCATCTCTGCACTTTTCTCTCCCACTCAGCCGATGGAGCCAAGCCAAAGAGGCTACATAGGTAAACATATCTCAGCAATGCAATAGCCCCCCTCGCATTCTACATACATTGCCGATCTGTATGGCAGAGCCGTCATTTTTACGGGCGAAACTATGCCAACCAAAACAAGGTAGATTCGAAATCCTTCTGAATCTCTCGAAAATCTACCCTGTGGTGATGGTTAGATTCTAGTCTTTTATTTTCAAAGGCAAAATAATAGAACCCTTAGTAGTGCTCTTGTGTCTTTACAGAGTAATCTCATAGCACCCCTTCAAAGCAGGCGCCACTCAACACCTTTGTTTTTCCAGTGTGAAGAAACAAGTTTACGCGGCAGTTGCACGGAACTGCAGATGAGACGTACTATAAGCAGGTGGATAAACAGGTGTACGGGCAGCTGCGACGCTATGCGAATGGTTGGAGAAAGTACCCGCCCCTTCCCCGCCTCGCCCTTCCCCGCGCCCCCTCCGCCTACCCCCAGCACAATACCAGCCCCCTCCCCTCGGCCCGCTCGACATCCAGGCAGCCCGCGGGCGTGCAGGTTTCCCAAACGGACTGAAAAAGGCGAATAACTCTCTTCAGTTCTGAAGACCGCGGCGCGGAGCGTATAAGTCTTTTAGGTATTCGAAACGGTGTGTGACAACTTGAACGAAGTCTCTGCCAGTTGCTTTCAGATATCAGTGTGACTGCCCCTACCCTGCTCTCTTTGTTTCCGCGTTGCTACACGCTGTGAATATCTTGGTTAATTTTTTGGGGGTCGACTTAAATAAAAACGATGTTGTAAATTTAAGATCGGCGTCGTGCATTTACAACAGACCGTTCTTGATCGTTGAAGAGTTCGAATTCAGTACCTAGTAAACCCCATATGAAAAGTTTCGCAATATTTTAATTTGAAAACGTAGTCGTAACTTGAACCATGACGCCCTCCCCCCTCCGCCCAACCATGAGATGGCCCAACTGTCTGGCAGAAACGGGTCCGTTTAAAAAAAAAATGCTCTTGGAAAGTTTCGATTTGAAACCGATTCGAATATTTTTTGAGTGTGCGCTACACTCCGCAGCCGGAGGAGCCGTTCATATCGATCTGTTTGAGTGGCCGGACTGCCCGGGACAGGCCTAGGCCGGGCCGGGGGGGCCCGGGGGCCCGTAGGCTAAAGCGGGGCCCAGTGCTCACACTGCCAAACCCGTTCGCTGCGCAGCGCCCCGCCGCTCCTCCAGGGTTTTATTATTCGGGTCCAGTCAGTCGGGGTCAATACCTCGTCGGTAGCGAAAAGAAAAGCGGGAGGAAAAAACACAACCTTGCGGAAAAAATGAATTTTGCGTTTTAAACTTCAAAACTTCGTCCATGATACTTTTTGGGAGGCACCACAACGATGACGGCCTGGCGTAGGATAGGCCGTCCCGCCAGTCTGGCTTGCTGAGCATGCTGCCTATACCACTGCTGCAGCAGCTGCTGCTGCCCAGAACTTTTCTGCCAACAGCGCGCCGCGCAACCTTTTGGTAAGACGCATGCGGCGGCACCGCGGAACGGAAACGACGCCGTAAACGAGACGAAAAGGGACGCCGTCGTGCGACTGCCGTCGGGGCGACGTGTATAAGGTCAGAGGTCGACGCGGGGCTGGGCGGCGCGTCCGACGGGACGCACCCACATGGCATTCTCCCGATTATGTCGGGTGTTTCCGATGCGTTCGGTGCCACGGCGCCACAGAGGATATGAGAAGGAGACGACAGGAAAGGGAACGTGACGTTCAGTTTACATCGAAGAGGGAAAGTAGTTTGATCGACGACTCTTCCTTTTGTCTCCCGGCCAGACAGCACTTCGACCAATGTGGGGACGTCAGCCACGTAGTCTCTCTCTCTCTCTCTCTCTCTCTCTCTCTCTCTCTCTCTCTCTC